GGGTCATTGAGTCAGCACTGACTCGATGGCAGTGAGAACAGGTCCAAAGAGGCCTGGTGGTGGATGCTGTGCTGACAAGGCAGCATGATGCCATCCATTCTGACCCACGCAGTTTCTGAGGTTTCCGAGCTTTCAATCTTTCCAGGAGCAGACAGCCTTATCTTTCTCCCGCAGGGATCGGAACCACTGCGTTTGCCGCCTCTTCCGATCAAAACTAAACCCCTGCCACTGTGTCAATCCGACTCTCATCAATCCTCCAGGGTGCCAGAAGCTGTGAATCAGGAGGGAACCAAAGCCTTACTCCCATCACGGTAACGATTACAACCTAGAACGCTAGTGTGTCCCGTGGGACCCCTGTCAGCTGGGCGAGAATCACAGCACCAACAACATCATAAGCAGAAGAGCGATACTTCTCAGCTTCCTTTATACACTACTTTTACAGCCCTAACCAAAGCCTCACAGATATTACAATGTAAATTAAAGGTAAATATCCTTTCTAAGAAGACCTGTAAAAATATTTACAATATTAGCAAACTGAAATTAGCAAGAGAGGGTAGTATGTGATGACCATGTTTAGTTTGTCCCCAAGATGCAGGGATAATTACACAATAAACAGTAGTGCAAATAACACTACTGGAGAAAACACGCTCCTCACTTAGATGCAGAAGTGAGAAAATCAACATGCAAATATCTAAACTCTCAGCAAACTGGTCACACACTAGATATAGGCCTCCTTTATTTGATAAAGGGCTTCGACAAACAAAAACAACTACAACAAAGTGAAATGTTCCAGCCTCTCCTCCCAACCCCCATCACCCCTTGTAACACTACATTACAAGTCCTCAGGCAAAACGGGGAGAGAAAAGGAAATGAAGAACAAAGATAGGGGAAAAAAAGAAGTCAAAATGTCTATTTGCAGATGACAAGATTGTTTATTTAGAAAATCCTAAGAAATCTACATAGAAACTGGAGTAAAGCAAGTTCACAAGACAGCAGAACACAAAGTTAATGTACAAAAATCCATTTATTTTTGTATACTAGTAATAACTTGGAAAAATGTCATTGTTCTAAAAGCAATTCCAGTCGTAATAGCATTTTTAAAACGTAACATACTTAGACATAAGCTTACTAAAAAATGTGTAAGTTCTCCACACAAAAATTCTCAAACCACAGCTGATGGAAATTATGGAAGACCTGAGTAAAGGGAAAGATGGGTCACATTCACCATCTTCAAGGGTTAGAATTCCATATTGTTGGAATTCCTTTTAACCCATCAGTCTACAAGTTCAGTACAATTTCAATCAAAAGCTCAGAATTTTTTTAAAGAAATTTGTAAACTGACCCTAGAATTCATATGGAAATAGAGCAATTATGTACAAAGCAACCTTAAAATGCTTACAGAGTTGTAGAACTTACTTGCATACTTTATATGAAGGTTAAACATAAAACTCTAATAACTAAGACAGTATGGTACTGTCCCAATGAGTGACCAATCAGTGTGATGGAGACCTCAGGAAAAAGATAGACTCTCACACAGGAACTCTGTTTAACAAGTGATGGCAAACTGTCTAACTGTCAAAAACAAGCAGAGAGCACCCTCACCCCTGCCCACATGCCCTGCACAGTGTCAGTTCTAGAGGCGTCACAGACCGAACTCTACAAGTGCCAAAATGCGGTGAGAGGAAACCGTGAGAGTACATCGTCAGGGCGTGGGACAGTTCAGGTTTCTTAGAGAGCAATGACTAAAAAGAAAAAAAGTTACACACATAAAAACTTAGAACGCTGCTCAAAAGATCCATTATAAAAAAACACAGGCAAGCCACTAACTTCTATAAAATATTCACAAAACATACAGTCAGAGAAAGCACTTTACCAGAATAAAGAATTGCTAAACCCCCAACAAAAAGACAATCAATTTCTTTAAGGGAAAAAGCTTTGTACAGACATTTCACAAGGCAATAATACTGCAAACACATGAAAGTGCTCAACGTCTTTAGACATCTGGGAAATGCAGAGAAAGCCCACAATGAGATGCCACGTTAGACCCATGGGAATGGTGTGGCTGTAATTAGCAAGACGACAGCACCCATGTTGCATGTGGGACCACGGGGACTCTTGCACATTGCTGGTAGTACAGATGGCACAAGCACTCTGCAAGAGGTGGTATTTTTGTAAGATTCTACCTCATGAAAGGAACTGGAATACAAAGAATGAAAATTCTCCTACACCACACACACGGGGCTTCAAAAGGTGTGTGCAATTTTTTCATTCCACTTTTCCATGAACTTTTGAAGTTTCCTCGTCTAAGGTAGCCTCTAGGAATTCTACAGGTGTGTATACAGTCTTGTCCTGTCACCCAGCAATTTCACTAAGAACTTACCTAAAAATATATAAGCACATGTGCATACTTTAATATGAATATTCAGACTTTATTTATAATAGACAAAAACTGGAGACAGCCCAGGTGTCAATAGAAAGGACAAATATTATATTCATACAAGGAAATATTACTCAGCAGTAGGTAGGAACAAATTCCTAATACCTGCAACAGCATTGGATGAATCTCAGACACATTACAGTGAGTTTCTAGAAGCCTTGCACAACAGGGACAAATGTTGGATCTTTTCTGCATCCGTCTAGAACAGGAAAAAACAAAACAAAACCCCCAAACTGGCTGCCATAAAGTCAATTCTGACCCACAGTGGCCCCACAGAACAGAGTCAAACTGCCCTTGTGGGTATCTGAGACTGTAACTCTTTGTGGGGACAAAAAGTCTCATCTTTCTCCCATGGAGTAGCGGGTGGGTTCCACCTGCTGGCCTTGCAGTGAACCCCAACACATAACCCACTACATCACCCGGGCACTTTAAAAATTCACGCAAGGAAGAGAAAAACAAAAAGCAGCAGGGCGCTGATGATGTCTGCAGGGTAGAGATCGGGACTGAACTTGAACCAGAAGGGAAGTTTTGGGATGCTGGCAATGTTGCACACAGTGATAAGTGGCTGAGTTCTATGGGTGTATGCACTTGGCAGAACTCAAGGACACAGTGAAGATTTGGGCATTACAGTGTGTAAACATGCAAAGTAAATTTTACATTAATATGGAAACACATATTGACCTCTAGTTAACGCTGTGTGTGCACAGCTTTAGAAAGAAGTGCCCTGGTGTCAGTAATTTACTTCGAAGTGCACCCAAACCAGGCTGGCTAACGGGTAGCCAGAGGCTGGCTAGATGGATAGATAGCTGTAGCTATAAAGCAAGTAGTCAGCCCTGCCTCTCCTCTGTTTTTGCAGCCATGGATTCAACCAGCTGAGGAGTGAACATATCCCATGGGGGATAAAATGGTTCCTTAAAGGCAGTTAAGTAGTCAAACCAATCCCTCAAAGGCTAAGAGGCAGTAGGAAGTGCAATTTTCATAGCACTTACATTGGATTAGGTATTGAAAGAAATCTACAGGTGATTTACAAAGGGCACGGATATGCTTAGGCTATATGCAAATAACCAAAGCATTTATATCAGGCATGCAAGCAGCCAGTGGACTTTGGTGTAGCGGGGGACACGAGATTCAGTCCTCCAGTAGCTTGTGGTCTGCTGTGGGAAGCAGAGCAGAAAGCAGGGCAGACCCCCATGTGGTAAAAGGCAGGCATCTATTACATTAACTTCCAACAGATCCTTAAGGGGCGGATATTTTGCTATTTTATCGCTGTGCTCACAACAGCTAACTTGCTTCCAAACAACCGTTTAATGGAGGACCAGGACTGCCTCTGCAGTCTAACGTAATCCCGTACTCTTAACCAAGATGCTACCCTGAAGTACTGTATATAAACAATACAGAGCCTTCAACTTGAGCCACAATGGTATCACTAGCTAACACTTCCCACTTCGTCTTCGCTGGTTAAAGCTGAGGCGTAACTAGAGAGCAGTAGATTATCAGTAGACAAGTTCTCTCTAGTTATAGATTGAGTGATACGGCTTCAGGCCACTCACTCAAGTCTCACTGGTCCCAGGAGGCAGATAGCTGCACCAGGAGGTTGGCAGCCCAAACTGCAGACCAACTAAGAATGAATGCCCACATTTCCAATGACAATGACCACCGGATCCTTTTCATTCTTCACACTGTCCCTAAATGCCCAACTCCCGTCTCCAGAGCCCAGAGGAGCAACCAACTCATGCCTTCAAAATGCGGTGGCCTTGTAACTATGCAGCAGTTCCAAGAGTGAGGACACCAGAGATGGGCTCTCCCGGATGTGGAGCAACGACTGGCCACAGGTGCCGGGCTCTCGTGAGCTGCCTCTAACAGCCCACAGTGGGGTTGTAGGCCAGCTCTCTGCCCTGCATGCGCTCACTGCCCCCCACGCAACACCTATTTTGAAAGTTAGTATTCAAAATAAAATGTGCATGTTGGAAACAGATTGTGGTAGCAACCGTACAATTCTCCTTGACGTGATTGAACTATGAAATGATATATGGATTAACTCCTAATTAATAATAAATTAATAAGAGGGCCAATTCGACACACACACACACACACACACACACACACACAAAATGCAAAGATGCTTCAGGAATTCTTGAGGAAAAAAAAGGAATAAGAAGAATGGAACTTCCTACAAACTGTATATTTCTAAACAGAAGATAAACTCATCTTTAAGTCGAGGTTACATTTCAAAAAGAAACATGAAAAATTATGAATATAGTTCAGTGTAAAAAAAAGTGTTCACGCTGTCACATGTCATTGCACATCCATTTAAATCACTTAGCATTCTCTCTGTCAAAGCGACTTCTCGCAGATCTGCCCAAGTCCGGTTGAGTGCATTTTCACAGCATCACTGGGTTCAGTACACAGGTTGCTCCCTTGGCCAGGCAGCCAGCAGCCCTCCAACAGGAGCTGTCCCAGTCCAGCCAGGCCCTGGGGGCTGCCTCAGACCAGGCGGACAGGTACCCTCTCTCAGGTGTCTTCTGTTCCTGCTGAGGAAAATCACAAAAGAACTCCAAGCTGCTTGATTTAAAGTCTCCATTTATTTCTTTTTTTTTTTAACAAAAATCCAACGTAAAACCATTGTGCTCATGACTGGAAAGGGGGAAGGCTGGGAGGGATATGGTGTGGATACCAGAGAGCTGCTCCCCTGCTAGACCTGAAGCCCCCGAGCACACACCAAGCAGCTGCTGCCGAGACCGCCCCTCCCTCCGGGCAGCAATGCTGGGCTCAGCTCGCTGCAGTGCAGGCCAGGTGTGGATCCAAACACTCAGGATGGCACGCGGAGACCTGGGAGGCTGAAACAAACCGGCGAGCAAAGACCAAGGCTACGCCTGGGCCACCAGGTCTCTTCTCCCGTGTACAGCCACTGAAACCCACGTGGGTGGACTGAGCTGGTTCCTATTTCAGGTGAGTCACACTTAGGTGTAGGTGACGCTGGGTTCTCCATGGTGGCCAGCATGGCACTGGGACTCATCCTCGTCCACTTGGTGGAGTGGTAGCCACTCTCAGGGGCACCTAGTCAAGCAGCCTGCAAGGCCTGAGTGCCCAGGCTCATGCTGCGGCGTGTCCTGTAAGAACACAGGCTGGGTTCCCAGGGCCTGGGTAGGCCTGGGAGTTAGTGTCTCTTTCAAGCCCTGAAAGTGCTATCCTTCCGTCCCCACACTACCTGTGGCACACCTTTCTGTCAGTAGCCTCTGAGCCTCCAGCAGTTCATGGATGGGCCAGTAACAATCAGGGACCCAGTAGCCAGGCTCCACGTACCGGATCTTTACATTCAGACCAACATCCCTCACGAGGTCCCACTGACAGTCAGTTAATGAGTTCCTCACATTGAAACAAACAAAATAAAACAGCAGCCTAGGAGCCAGCTCAAAACACTGCTCTCCTTGGCTCCCGGGAGGGACAGCCACTGCTAAAAAAGACAAGCTCAGACCTCAAGGAAAGAGTAATTAGTAAGTTAGAGAGCAGGCAGTTCGGACCTTTGGGCTGCGCTGCTGAGATGTGTAAGTGCTTGCCTCAGGCAGGAGGCTACAAGCTGCCCAGGGAAGGCTCAGCAGAGACCATCGTGGCCTTAGGAGTAGCCTTGCTCCTTCCTGCTGAGGGGACTTCCTGAGAGCCAGGCTCAGCCTACAGTGGGTAGTAGCCACAAGAAAACGCCTGGCTTCAAAGCAGTATTTCGTGAGAATCTGGTGCCGGCCAGCTAAGGGGCGGATGTAACCCCAGACAGCAGCACAGGCTGTCAGGCCCAGGGAAGACAACAGAACTAGTAGCTTAAGGCATTGCTCGACCAGGGCAATCCCGAGCAGTTTAACTCACCTGCTGCAAACCTCCTATGCTCAATGCCATTGGAAGTACTTGGGCTCTAGGAAAACAGGGGAAATCATGTGCTAATCGCCCCCCACCTGCCACTGAAAAATGCCATTCACTCCCTCCCTGGGTTCCCTTTGCACCACCACCACCACCACCAAAACATGAGATTTCTGTTTCAGTCCAAGTAACAGAAATTTAAACCAGATGGGAGATGGCAAAGTGGGGTGTCAATTCCCAGACTGGTGTCGTGCTTACCTAGCAAACCATAGTACTCCGTGTATTTCTGGCACATACTGAGTCTCAAAGAGGTCCTGGGGCCACCCTGGCATTAGGAGTCCAAAAAAATAATAATACAAGTGACAGCACATGGGCCCAGACAAAAGTAGAGAGGATGGTGAATTTCACCAAGGTATTAATCCCAAGGCAGGTGCCTTGCTGTGAGAGTTCCCAGCCAGCCGGGTGGGGAACCTTAAAGGATGCTTGGTTGTTCAATGCCAAAGCAAAGAGGCCAGCCTACAGACCAGTCTTCCTGTCCTCGTATCCAGGAGGCAGCACTGCAGGGAAGCCTGAAGCCTAATCCACAACCTGCTCTTAAATGGGAGGGGAAGACAAACATGTCATTTCAGTCCGAGTGCAGTCTGCAGGACTTACGCGTTCCTCACTCTTTGCGTCCTCATCCTCTTCCCAGGGAGGGAATGGGCAGCAGGGATAAGTACTGGGACAAAACTAACTAAAAACCAAACCCACTGCCACTGAGCTGAGTCTGACCCACAGTGGTCCTACTGGACACCACAGCAAAATGGCTGTGGGTTACCAAGGTCGTCAATCTTTATGGGTGCAGACAGCCCTTTCTTTCTCCTGCGGAGAGGCTGGTAGGCTTGAACCAATGACCTTAGGGTTAGCAACCCAATGCTTGGCCCACTGCACCAAGTACAGGGACAAGCAGCACCTGATGCTGAGTCCTCAAAACAAGAGTCCGGCAAAAGGAAGCTCAGTGGCTCACAAAGGTAGGGCCCTCACCGAGGATCCAGGTGAGAGAAGCTGTGTTAGGCCACTGATTAGTCACAGGAAAGGGAAGGAACAGGACAGGGACAGATCTAATCCCACCAGAGGCACCAGGCCAGGGCCAGGCTCACCCCTTTCTTGTTTCTGCAAAGATCCTCCCAAGGGACAAGCCAGATAACACAAGGCGAGGCACCATCCCCACGGAAATCCACACCATCAAGAGCTGGATGTTGTCCCTCACTTAGTGAGATAGGCGAGAATCTTGAACTCCATCCTCACAAAAAGAAAAAAAATATATATATGTATATATATATGTATGTGTATGTGAGTATGAGTGTACGTGCGTATATACAGACATGTACACACACAAACACACATATATAAATAAGCCTTGTTGGCAAATCTGAAACCTTTTCTTTTTAAATAATAATAATAGTTGTTATTGAAGCTAAAACCACGAGCCAGCTGTCCTGGGCTTATGAACTACGTGAGTGACTGTCCAAAGTCCCCATGTCCTCAGTGTAAGCTATCAGTCAGTGCCCTGTAGAGGGAACCCGTGCCTTTTCCACAGGGTTCCAGTGGAGCAGCTTCCAATCTGCCTGGGCCCAAGGTGGTGCAGGCAGCTCTCGCCTCCACTCTTCCTGCCAGCTCTCCCAAGAGCAGGTCTGGGCCGCCCAGCCAGCGGATGGCCCCAAGGTCCTTCAACACCCAGGAACCTTAGGAGCCATCTTCCTCACTGCCCGTCCCTCTCCTCAAAACGTGCAATGCCCCTAGATGAACTTGAAGCACTTGGTCTTGTCATGGGGCAGGCGAGTCTTGAAGAGTACAGAGTCCACCCTAAACTGAGTGTACAACAGGGGCATATAGCCATACACCTTGACAAAAAAGTTGATACATTTGTGTCGCTCGTGAAAGTGGGAGTCATCGTGTGACAGGGCCTGAGGGCACCCTGGGCATCGGAAAGTCCATCGTGAGGTCACCTGGACACAGAGAAGAAAGATGTCATGGTGAGAATCACAGGGGCTAATACTGTAGCAGCCTTGTAGCTTAACCTCATTTCCCATTGAGGACACTGAACCCCGGGGCCTCCCCAGACTCACAAAGGGACTCAGGGGGAAGCCAGAGCCAGGCCCGGGCTCTCTTCCAACCACACATCTGTCTACAACACTGTTCAGGGTGCTCTCTCAAAATGGCTCATGTTAACCAGACACCCAAAGTCTTACAGTGTTTGGTATTTGTCTCAGTAATTCCACTCTTAGTATTTATCTTGGTAAGCACAGAGGTGCCTATTTAAGCAATGTTTTAAATAGCAGAATATTGAAAAGTTACCCATTAAAGGCCCAAGACATCAAGCCCATCTTGACTTGTAAGCACGCTGTAGGACAAAGTAGAACTGCCCTTGTGGGGTTTGGAGGCTGACACTTGGTAACGGAAAGCCTCCTCTTTCTCCCACAGAACAGCTGGTGGATTCGAATTGCTGACCTTGCAGTTAGCAATTGAATGTGTCACCCACCCACTCTGCCACCAGGGCTACACCCATTATAGGAGCGCTTCTTCAATATGTATAAGCTACTACACATCCATTAAATCAACGTTTGAAAAAATGATGCTTACAGGACTAAATGTATTATAATGTGGTTTACTATTACTGTTGTTATTATTCTAAGGACGTTTGAAACAATTCGAAAGGTGTTATGACTAACATCATCAGAGGCAGGGCAAGGTGGCGGAGTGAGTGAAGGCTCCGCCTGTCTGCAGATGACGACTCCTATACATAAAACTACTCCATCAAGTCCAAGTTCCACTCAGGGACCCTCAAGGTGCCCGAAGACAAGTGCTGCAAGGAATGCCCTCCATAAGCCCCCGACAGTGGTCTGGGCATTTCTACAGCCAGCATGAGGAGGTTTCTCGACAAGAAAGTGTGCTTGGGATTTTTATGCATACACGCGTTATATTTCCAATTTGAAAGTTTGGGGGGAAGTAAAGGCAATGGACCCACTGGTAACTGTAACAGGCCTATCACCGTGAAAGAAATCACATCTGTTCAGTAGCTATCCACAATGCACACACAGAGCTCAGAAAGGTAGCTAGTCTAGGAAAGTCTCACACTGTATTTTTCTAATATAAATTTCCTTCTCCTACATGGTCTGTATTTGTCCTTTCTTGCACCCTAATTAAGGCACCTCAGGAGCACACTGGGTTACGTGGGAGGCTGTTTGGCAAGGCTGACAGAGCCCAACGGCCTCTGTGTGAAGAAAGACGAGGCTGTCTGCTCCCCAAAAAGAAATACAGCCGCGGAAACCCTAGGAGTAGTTCTGCTCTGTCCTACAGGCTACAATGAGTCAGATTCAAAGTGATAGCAATAGGCTTAGGTTTTGGGGGGTACTCTTACTGGTTTTTATTAGATTTATATGCTTATATCCTCCAGGCTTCTTAACTCCCCTTCTTATCTTTTTCTCTCTTTACATCTCTGTGATAGCTTTTTGGAAATATCTTTAGTCATTCATATTTTCTTCAGCAAGGTCTAAAAGAGGCCTGGCACTGCGGTGGTTAAAACGCTTTTGCTCACCAGCGGACTGAAAGGTTAGAGACTAGGAACCACCATTTCCGCCATGAGAAACAGACACAGCAGTGTGCATCTGCAAAGATTACAGCCTTGGGAACCCAAGTTCTTCTCGGGCCCACTGGGTCATAGCGCATTGGAATCAACTCGATGGCAATGGTTTGAATGTTTCAGATTTATTTCTTTTTTTTTAATCTCATCAACTGAAATTCTAAGTGTAAGCCCTAGAAGTTCTATGTACAAGTCTGCAAGTTCCTTTCACGGGGATTGGTTGCTTTTTTTTTTTTTTTCAATCCTTAGTTTCTATCTTTAGTCATTTTGTGGTTGTTAGCATTCTTCGAGTGGGCCCCCGACTCAGGGCCACCCTATGATCAACCGAACTATCTGCCTGACCCCAGTATACAAGGGAGGAGGAGGTTAGGAAAATATGCTGGCAGGGAGGTTTGCAGGAGCTAAAGGCACGCGAGCAAACATGGTTACATGACATGATCCTGCAGTAGTGGTGATCTACAGATGAACAGGTGTGGGCAGGAACGTGGGAGGAGATCCATGAACAGAAATAGAGTTGACAAAGGATAATTATAGGTGTACCTACTTTTGCTACAAATCTATCCATGAAGGTGGTGGAGCATACAGGAAGCAAAGTTATGAAAACTTCTTAAAATTAACCAAACACCTAGAGGGAATGAGAGTTCACTCACTGGGCCTGGGGGGACGAGTGGGGGATCAGGACCAGTCTTAGAGGACGCCAAGGTCAGCTGGCATAACATCATCCACAAAGGCAATGCTCTACAATCTACTTTGGAAACAGAGACTTGGCCTTAGAAGGCCATGAGCAGTCATCTCAGGTGAAACTACTGTCTCTCAAGGAAGGCTGGAAGAAGAGTCACAGAAATGGACTAAAGGGCCGCACAAACATCAGTCTGCACAAGCCTGAGCCGAGAAGCAGCAGATGGTGACGGCTACCAACTGCTCCACAAAAGGCCAGGGGTGGAGTGGAGGCACATGGGGAGCAAACGCAAAGCCATAAAAAGACTAGGTTAACTGGTGGGACAGAGGCGGGTGGGACCCCAAAACTATGGCCCTGAGTCACCCTTCAGGTCTCTAACTGAATTCACTCTCATGTCAACATAATCAAACATCTGAGATCAAAAGGGCAGCATTTACCCAAGGAAAGAGGGTTAGGAGAAAATGGAGGAGTGAAAACAGGAAGTAGAAAAAAGCCAATCCCAATTTTATTCACACATTGTTATGTCTGCACACCCACATAGATAAGAGAGATTGGACACATATATATATATATGAGAAGAAAATAAAGAGACTGATGGCCCCGGAGGGACATGGGAGTGTGGGATGTAGGGGAAGGGAGGAGGGTGGCCAACCTAGGGACAAGGAAACAACAATTGGTTCAAAACCAATGGCAGGGAGGGGATGGGAGGACTGGCAGGGAGTGACCAAGGGCAAGGCAACTGCGAGGAACTGCCGAAACCAGAATGAAGGCTGAACATTTGTATCGGGACTGGAGGAAAGCGTAAAGAAATAGAGGAAAGAAGTAGGAGGCAAAGGGCATACATATAAGCCTAAATGCAGACATGTACATATGTAAATATATTTAAGATCAAGGGGAGAACGGACCTAGGTGCAAATAATTATAGGTTTGGTAGT